TATTGGACCTTTATTGACGAAACTCCCTCCGCCCTGTGAGAACCTGTCGGGACAACACGATTCACTGACCGAAAATTGAACCTTCCCAAGGTCTAGTAACAGATATTCAAGTTTAAAGAGGTTGTGTGACAGCCAGGAATCGGCCTAGTACTCAAAGTAACTTGCATAAAAAAAAAAAAAAAAAAAAAGACGGTGTATTTTTCCATGTTACAGCGGATGATTCATTCCCTTCCTACCTCGGACCCGACAATAGCACTTCGATGTCATTGGAGCCGTTGGGATGCCTGGATAACACTTTCACTATTGGTTGGACCATCTGCCGGAACACGCTGGCCTAAGAAAATTATTGCCCAATGATACTGTGCTGCGTAGTCCTAACTTAAGAATCTTCATTTTGGCAGAGGAACGAGGGCAACACACGAGAACTTCACTTTTCATAAATAAGATGTTTTTTTTTTTTTTTTCTTTATAATTTTTAAGTTGGAGGGTTTTGTTAGGGATTCCAGGGTTCTGAGCGTTCGAAGGACTTATGTGGCTTTCCTTTTTTATTTAGTAATTGCTGCGTTAGTAGTCTAGCAATAGGTTAGCAGTTATCCATATTTTTTTCTTGAACTTCTTTAATAGTTCTCAAATTCTTCTTAGCCGAAGCCAGGTAATGGTCCTGGTATTTGAAATGATTTGTATAATTCTATATGCGACGCTGGACCCGGTTTCCAGCATGTGCTGCTCCTCACAAATAAACTGGAGCATTTGTCCCCCCAAATATAAAATAAATCAAGTAAATCAAATAAAAATCAGAATTAAGATGCTAATTTTCCGATAGTGAAAAATGTGGAAACTGCAGTGGAGTCCGCCATTCTCCGAGGAATTCCTCGATTGACTCGGCAGTGGAGCACAACCCTTAGAGTCCGTTTGGGTAAATGAGACCTTAAGCCCGCTTATTGGCTGAAATTGGGACCTTGTCCACTTGCTCAGCTGGGCCAAAAAAATAATAATAATGCAAAAATAAATAAATAGGTAAATATATATGTATTTTCCTAAGGTTGCACTTTTATTAACAGGACTCAGTGCCCAAGGCAATTACATGATCAAGATAGGCAAAAACAGAGACGACAGGTTGTCATGCCCCTCCTGGAGCCCGGAGCCCCATCCCTGCGTACACAATATTCACTTTCTCAACCCCAACACGACACCAACCCTGCTACGAAAACAGTCACTACTACAAAAATAATCCCTATTCCCACCTACCCAATGTCCACACTCTTCACAACCCACGTTCAACTCCTACACACACGAAGTAAAAACTCGCAATTCCAAATAACTCCTACGTACACGATATAAAAACTCGCAATTCCAAATAACAGGAATTTCCACAGCGTGTCCGGGAATGGTATGGTAAAGAATTTCGATGTGACCCTGAAGCAAAACTTGTTCAATTTATTTTTCTGCATAACATAGTTTTTTTTTTTTTTTTTTTTGATTTTTTATCTTTTGCTAGGACCTTCCCTGGTCCTTGCACGGCCGGGCCGGGCGGGGAAATAGGGCGACCCTGGCGGCCCGGCTGGTAGCTTAGGACCTTGTCCCCTGTTGTCGGGTGGAGAGCGGGGAGGGGTTGCCGCTCCATTTTTCCGAGGTTTATGTGGACTGCTAAAAAAATAAAATAAAAATTAGAAATTCATTGCTCGGCGCTAGCGCCGCTGATTTCCCCCATCGACAATGCATGCCCACCCATCGTCACCGTGATGAGGGACTGGTACAACCTTGCTCTCGCACCACAGCTGTGGTGCAAACCTACCCTGTGGGCTGGGGAGAGATCCGGGTTGGTTGGTGTTCCCCCGTACTATAAATAGACTAGTGAGAGGATGTGATAGATGCGTACTACCAAGAAAGATGAAATAGATTGAGAGAAGAATATAATTTTTTTTTAAAAAAAGAACAAATTAAAAATAGCTTCCTGATAGTGAAAAAAATGTGAAAATCACCGCTTCTATAGACTGCAGGGATGGGATGAAGTGTGGAAGCCTTAGGGCAATTGTGTATTGCAAGTGTTCGAGAAGGAAAACCAGAAATCCTCAAAGTTCATCTCTTTTGGTACAGTAGAGAGGTACGGGCTCAGTGGACTGGCTGAATGCAGAGTGAGAACAGGAGAAGGAAAGAGGCAGACACCTATGATTGTAGGGGGAGGTAGAACGTATTAGAAGCTCAGATTAGATCCAGAAGCCTGGTTGGGTAAGAGGAGATCAGAATATAGTTGGGTTAGGAAAGCTAGAAAAGGATACCGCCTGTTGTAATAAGAAAGAGAGTCAGATCTTGGAAGAGAAACTGACAGTAAGGTGGCAAAGGACTGTCCACAGTATCCCACCACGAAAGAAAGAAGAACTCAAACAACTTTGGGATCAGCTCAAGAGAATACCATCGCAGAAGATGGCTTCCCTCCTGTGGCTTCAGTCCCACCTGGTGGTGCCTACAGCGGTGTGGGTAAGAAACAGGGGTATGGACGGAGTTGATGCGAAATGCGTGAGGTGTGGTTGGGTATATGAAGATGCAAAGCACTTATGGTGGGATTGCCCTAAGTTACAGAAGTGGTGGAAGTGCTGGCTCTTCAACTGGAAAGAGATCACAGGCAGAAACAAGTTCTGCAACCAAAGATAGGTCCTATCAGGAGCACTGCCAGAAAGATGCTCAGGCAAAAAAGGCTAGTGATATATGGCTCAGGTTACAAGAGTTGTAATGATGTGGATCATCTGGAAAGATAGAAATGCGAGAAGATTTGACAAAGAGAAACTAACAAAAAAATACGCCTTCGGACTGTTCAAACACCTCTTAGCCAACGAGATCAGAGCCGTCTGGCGTCGCACCAAAAAAAGGAAAGGAAGAGATAAAGGGCAGAACTGGTTTCTGAAGACCTGGGCAAAAGGCTCATGCTTTGCATCGATAACTCCAGGGGGACGATTAGTCCTGTCGAAATGGCTGGGCACATGAGGATAAATGACACAGGCGGTAAGGAAATATAGCTTGGTAAGATAATGAAAGGGTAGAATAGGGGACGAACCAGGACACTCGGTTCCTGTTGGTAATAACAGTAGACTGCAATGAGTGAAGGGAGGGTAGGAGAGTGTCGGGGGGTCCCATAAGGAACGCTAAATGCGATCCTCTCAGTCGTGCCAGGCCGGGGTCAGACCGGATCGTGTAGGTCTGTGAAAGTTGTAGTGTGGTAGGTTAGTGAAGTAGAGGAGAAGTTTAAATGAATAGAGTAGGAAGAGGGAATGTAGACAGAGGAAGGTTCAGAAGTAGGCTGTGGCCCATTTGAGGAGTCATGAGCGGTCACGGAATAGCACAGGTATAAGCGAAACTGGCTGAGGCTGCCAGGATAAGGGCCAGATCCCACTGGCAAAGAGGATTGGAAAAAATGTCTGAGGCTTGGACCCCACTGGCCGGCGGCTGGAAACTGGTGTTGGCCATAAAAAATGGCCGACCATGGTTGGAAACATTCTTCCTCTTTTCATTTGGACCCCACCGCAGGCCGATAGTTTCGGCATGGAAAAGTTTGGGCATACCCGAATAGGAAATCGCACCGGGGTGTTTCCCAAAAAGGCAAGCCCGGCGGGGGCTGTGGTCCATGGTCTGCTTGCGCAGCCAATGAAGTGTCTACAAAATGCCACGACGTCCAGCCCGATCCTGGAAACTCTTTTCCATGCCCCCCCCCTACTCGTCTGGAGCCGTCCTTGGGAACTGTTTGGAAACTCGTTGCCAACAATTTCCAGACCGCGAGCCGAGTAGAAACGCCCCGTCAGCTTTTCCACGACCTCTTTCCAACCGCAGTGGGGTCTGAAATTCCTTTCCGGGACGACTTTCCACGACGGTTTCCAACACCTGTGGGGTCTGAAAAACACTTCCTCGCCAAAACTTTTCCACACCGCCGGCCAGTGGGGTCCAAACCTGAATGTGGATGTGTTCCACGCAGAGGGGCAGAAAAGTAGATCAATCACAAGTTTTCACACCTGTTGACAAACACGTCCAGATTCAGATATTTCCTCCAATCCTCTTTGCCAGTGGGATCTGGCCCTAACTCTGGGTCGAACTGTGAGGGTCCCCGGCCTCGTCTAAATTGATTTTTTGGAATGAATTGAATGCCTTCCACAGTGGGTAACCGCAGTAGCCATTTCTAGAGCTCGCCATTCCTAGGGGTAGGACCCCACAGGACCGCGGAATGGAAAAACTTCGCCGCGGAAGTGTTTGCGAGACCCCACACACCGCGGAAACTGTTCTGGAAAGGCCGACATGTCTTCCAGAAACCGTTTTCTGGGACCCCACAGCCCGCATTTCGTGGCCTGGAAGATGTGGCGTGGACGTTTTCACATGGTCTGAGGTCTGGAAAACGGCGAGTGTAGGAAATAACGCCGCAAATTTGTGCCGAAAGCTGAGGTTCTCCCCCAGAGCCGTCTTGAACTTTTCCAAAACCAGGTGCCATGGACGGGAGGCAGCAGCCAATAGCGATGAAGAGTGCCACAAAAAAAAAAAAAAACCCGGAAAAAAGAACAAAACAAACGAGTGCAAAAGGAACAGGCAACGATTGGCTCAACTGATTTCCAAAGCGTTTTCCAAGGGCATTTGGTCCTCTGCAATGCGGTCCCGGAAAAAGTACTTTCCGACTTTCCAAAATGACTTGCCCGCTTTTCGTGGCCGAACGGCTTTTCCATCCGCGCCGCAGTGGGGTCCCACTAGAAGGACTCGGCCGTGGAGCACAACCCTTAGAATCCGTCTGGGTAATTGGGACCTTTTCCCCGCTTATTGGCCGAAATTGGGACCTTGTCCCCCGTTGTCGGGTGCAGAGCGGGCCGGGCTTGCCGCTCCATTTTTCCGGGGGTTACGTGGACTGCTACCTAGTCCAGGGGTATATCTGAAATCATCGGGCCAGATATGTGTAGCAACTGGCAAAATTTGTCGTTTTCTGCGAACGGTTCCATGGCCGCACCTGGCTAACCATCGGTGGGACGCCTTTTGCCTCATGTCTGTTGTCGAGAGAGAAAAGCTCTCTCTCGAGAGACTCCTGGAAGTTGCCGTGACAGCGCTCGAGCTGTAGAGGTTGGCTATGGCGGCTATGGCGGCAGTGACCGGCAAGTCGATGTGGCCTGGGTTGTCGGCCCGCGTCGCCGGCGACAAGGCGGGGAATGGTCTTTTTTGCATTGTCGACAGTAATATTGCTGTGTCGGTTAGGAGGAGGAGGTACGAGTAATATATATGACAATATACCTTATATCTTATATATATATCTTATATATATATATCTTATATATATATCTTATATATATAAAGTAAAACAGAGCTGCGTACGGTAAACCGTAGGCAGAGAGGGAAGGAGAGGAGGACAACAAACGATGGGCGGTGACAAACTGTTTCGTCGGAGTTTCACCGAATCATGAGGAGGCTATATATATCGTCAAAAAGAACTGCCCGGTAAACCGTCGGCAGAATATGTATTATGTATATAATATACATCTGTTTGCCGATTTATATGATGTATATATATATCGTAAAACAGAGCTCCCTGGTAAACAGTAGGCAGAGAGGGAGAAGAGGACAATATATGTACATGTGTATATATACTAGGCTACCAGTGTGGCCGGGGACCACTTGCCCGGCCGGGCCAAAAAAAAATTAAAACTGAAATTAAAAACTACATTTTAATTTTAATTTTTATTTTAAATTTGGTGAAGAATTTCGATATGACCCCCTGAGGCAAAAGTTGTTCAGTTTATTTTTCTGCATAACATAGTTCCTTTTCGTCTTTTTTTTTTTTTTTTTTTGCCCGGGAAAACAAGGTGACCCGGGCAGCCCGGCTGGTGGCGTAATATACATCACAGCCCCTCGTTTGTTGTCCTCTCCTCTTCTCCCTCCCTCTCTGCCTACGGTTTACCGTAGGCAGCTCTGTTTGACGACGTATATATGTACTTAATGGACAAAAGTAAAAACATGCATTTGATGATTTGAGTACAATTGAGAAAGGTGCGATTCCTTTTGTGCGGTTGGCTGTCGACTGCTCGGAAACAAAATGCGTGTCTTAAAAAAAAA